TATATATAATTCACTGAGGTGAACACTAAGACTTATGGACTTTTACGTAAGTTATGTCTCAATTAAAGAACTTTAGGGGAATTCCCTGGCAATCCAGTGGTTAGAACTCTGCACTTTCACTGCCAAGGGTGTGGGTTCAATCCTTTGTCAGGGAACTGAGATCCCACAAAGCCTTTCAGTGTGGGGGGAAAAAAGGACAAAACTTTAAAACACAAAAACAGAACTCTGAGTTCAGGTGAAATGGACAACAGCTCCCTGCAGTGAAGTTCTGTAGCGAGAGCCAGACTGTCACTTACCACCTGCAGGACCTCAGTTAACTTACCAGGCCTCAGTTTCCTCATCTATGAATTGGGGATAGTAACAGTACCTTCCTCAAAGTGTCATTGTAAGGACTAAATAACTTAAAAGATACAAAGTTTAGGGTAGTAGCTATAATACTATCTAGCAATAATAAGCACTAAATAATCATTTGCTATTATGATGATGAATGGCTGAATATTCCTTGCTAGGGAGAAAGATGGCCACTATAAGAATAAAAGGAACATTTAACCGAAAGCTTACAAGATGTCAAAAATCTTTTAATTCCATTGCTTCAAAATATATGAAATTTGAATTAAAAGACTCATTCAGCAATTCATACATATGGTAGGAGAGTTTAATGTAACTTTCTCAGTAAATGATAGACTGGAAAGCTAAGGACTGAATGTTGGTGCTCCCTGGAGTTGACATGCTGAAGTCTAACTCCCAAGGAGATGGTTAAGAGGTGAGGCCCTTGGGAGGTGATTAGGTCATAGGGATGGAGCTCTCATGAATGGGATCAGTGCCCTTACAAACGAGACTCCAGGGAGCTCTCTTGCTCCCCTTCTGCCATGTGAGACATGGCAAAAAGATGGCCATTTATGAACTAGGAAGCGGGGCCTCCCCAGACATCAAATCTGCCAGCTGTGATCTTGGACTTCCCACCTCTAGAACTGTGAGAAATAAATTTCTGTTCTTTGTAAGCCACCCAGAATTTTTGTTATAGCAGCCCGAGCTAAGACAGAAACCAGTATTTTAAAATGTGTAAAAGACTTTTATACACAAAGAGCATGCTCCATCTAGTGGACATTTGTAGGATACCATACATTGACTTCCACCATCCAAGAAGCATTTATAAAAATGAACCATATATTAAGTGCATCAGTTAGAGACTGCATTCAGCCACAATAAATCCATCCCTGCCCTCCCCCAAACTCCCCTCCCCGCAAAAAAGACAATGTCATGTACCAGTAAGAAGTGCATCTTTTTCATGTAAACAAGATGTCCAGAAACAAACAACCCAGGGCTGGTACACCCACACAAGGATACCAACCAGGGAACCAAGATGGTTGTAGCTCTGGCCACAATCTATTATTTTTTAATCTATTATTTTTATATGTTTAATTTGGCAGCACCATACAGCTGTGGGATCTTAGTTCCCTGACCAGGGATCACACCCTCAGCCCTGTATTGGAAGCGCAAAGTCCTAATCACTGGACCACTAGGGAAGTCCCCCATGCTCTCTTTAGACTGTTGCTTTCGCCCTTGTGGTCACAGGATGCCTCCTCTAGCACCAGATATGGTGCCCGCTTGTACAAAAGGCAAGAAGGAGAGAAAGTGAAAGTGTTAGTCGCTCAGTCGTGTCTGAAGTCTCTTTGTGACCCCATGGACTGTAGTCCGCCAGACTCCTCTGTTCATGGAATTCTCCAGGCAAGAATACTGGAGTAGGTAGCCATTCCCTTCTCCAGAGGATCTTCCCGACCCAGGGATTGAAGCTGGGTATCCCGCATTGTGGGCAGATTTTTCACTGTCCAAGCCACCGGGGAAGAAGGAGAGGGATCTGGCTAGATGAAACCATTCCTTTGTGACATCTTCCCCAGGACTCACACTCAAAGATGTCTCTTGCTGGCCAGGACTGGAGAACGTGGCCTCCACTGCCAGCAAGGAGGACGGGGAGGTGGAAGTATTTTAATCATGCACATTCCCTGATGGTGTAGTGGTATGAATGCGGCCCCCACCACCACCATCACCGAAAGATATGTCCACCTAGAAACTCTGGTTGTGAACTCAGTTGGAAAAGGGTCTTTGCGGATGTCATTAGATTAAAGATCTTGAGATGAGGCCATCCTGGATAGATATCCTAAATCCAATGATGTGTCCTTATAAGAGACACTTAGAAGACACAGGAGAGGACACAGAACCACAGAGGAGAAGGCCATGTGAAGATGGAGGCAGCGATGGGGGCGATGCTGCCATAAGGCAAGGCACACCTGGGGCCACCCAAAGTGGGAAGAGGCAAAGAAGCCTCCTCTCCTAGAGACTTTAGAGGGAACGTGGCCCTGCAGACACCTTGATTTCAACTTCTTTGGAGTGGGTTGCCATTTCCTTCTCCAGGGGATCTTCCCAACCCAGGGATAGAACCCTCCTCTCCTGCATTGGCAGGCGATTCTTCATCACTGAGCCACCATAGAGGATGTAGCTAAAGGAGTACTAGGAGAGATGATTACTGCCCCGGATGCTTAGTCTGTATAAACAGGAGGTTAATCAGCAAGGGGCCCTTCCATGGGCAGAGACACAGATAGAGGCAGGTCGCCGGTCCTGACGTTTTCTCCCCTGGCGTGAATCCTCTTGTGCACACTGAGTGAAGAGCTGTGCCGGAAGGCTTTGTCACACTGAGTGCATTCGTAGGGTCGCCCCGTGGTGTGCGTTCTCACGTGGACGATGAGGTGCGAGGACTGGCCGAAGGCTCGCCCGCACTGCGGGCACACGTAGGGCTTCTTGCCGGTGTGGGTCCTCGCATGCTTCCTGAGGGATGAGGGCTCCCCGAAGGCGCGCCCACACTCCGGGCACGGGTAGGGCTTCTCTCCGGTGTGGATCCGCATGTGACTCTTGAGGGTGGAGAGCCGACTCAGGACCTGCCCGCAGGTGGCGCACTCGTAGAGCTTCTCGCCGGTGTGGATCCTCTTGTGCACGTTCAGGTTGGTGCTCGTGCGGAAGGGCTTGCCGCAGTGGTTGCACTGGTAGGGCTTCTCTCGGGTGTGGGTCCGCACGTGTGTCTTCAGCGACGAGTGCTCCCGGAAGGTCTTCCCACAGTGGCAGCATTCGAAGGGCTTCTCTCCGGTGTGGGTCCTCATGTGGCTCCTCAGGGAGGATGGCTGCGTGAAAGCCTTCCCACAGTCCTTGCACGAGTAGGGCTTCTCGCCCATGTGGTTCCTCTGGTGCAGGATCAGGTTGAAGTTCCTCGTGAAGGTCTTCCCGCACTGGCTGCACTCGAAGGGCTTCTCGCCGCCGTGGGTCTTCAGGTGGCGCCGCAGGTTGGAGAAGTACTTGAAGGCCTGCCGGCACTCCTGACACTCGAAGCATTTCTCCGCGGTGTGCGTCTTCTCGTGCCGGATGAGCTCGGAGCTGTACCGGAAGGATCTTGCACATTTCTCGCACGTGTAGGTTTTATCCCCGCTGGGGACTTTCTCGGGCACGATGAGGCGGGTGGTCCGGAGGAAGGATTTTCGGCTCTCTCGGCCTTCAAAGGGGTTTCCTTCAGTAGGAAATCGCGGGTACTGAAAAAGCGGTTTGATGCTGTCAAACGGCTTCCCAAGCTCATCATATTTATAGAGGTTTTCTCCGACCTGAGGTGGCTCCTGTCAATTGAGGAAAATGGGAAGACCAGAGGCTTTACCGCAGTCAAAGGTATTCTCCCAGAAGCAAATTGTGTGTAGGAGAGAGGCAGTCCTATAGTTCAAACTTATACCGTCCTAGTGTATCTCTGCCATTTCTACCCTGAGTTCCTTCAAGAGGATACTCTGCCACAAAGAGCTATCATTGTCATTACCTTCATGGGACTTCTTAGAAGTAGATTTTTTTTTTTAATTGTTAAAGGCTAAATTAAGTCTTGAATGCTCTACCTCTCTGTCAGATTTACAAAAATGGTAAACTTTGCACTGTTTACAACAGCCATGACATGGAAGCAACCTAAATGTCCATCGACAGAGGAATGGATAAAGAAGATAAAGTAATGGAATACTACTCAGCCATTAAAAGAATGAAATAATGCCATCTGCAGCAATATGGATGGACACAGAGACTATCACATAGAGTGAAGTAAGTCAGAGAAGGAGAACTATTGTATGACATGCCTTATACACGGAATCTAAAAATAAATGATATTAATGACCTCACTTGCAAAACACAAACAGACTCACAGACTTAACAGTACAAACTTATGGCTGCTAGCTGGAAGGGGGTGGGGGTTGCGGGGGTGGATAGGAAGGGACAGTTAGGGAGCTTGGGTTGGGATGGACATGTACACACTGCTGTATCTAAAATGGATAACCAACAAGGACCCATTGTAGAGCACAGGAAACTTTGCTCAATGTTATGTGGCAGCCTAGATTGAAGGGTAGTTTGGGAGAGAATGGAGACATGCATATGTATGACTGAATCCCTTCACTGTTCTCCTGAAACTGAACATTCACCTGAAACACAACATTTTTAATCGGCTATACCCTAATACAAAATAAAAAGGTTTTAAAAATGATTAGCTTTGGGAACTCTGTGAGATACATCTTGATCTACATTTAGAGTTTTTTCCCCCAATTCATGATATTCACAGACTCTCTCCCAACAAACTGCCTTCTCCTAGGTGAGTACCACTTGCCTTGAATCTCTCTCTGAGCTTCTTGAATTTCTAGCCTACAGCAATTCCTACTGTAGAGGACCAAGAATAATCCCTTATGCCTTACCCTTTTCATGCCAATGGATGGAATCGCTGCCAAAATATCTTGATTAGGAATTGAGTCTTGGCGTTGAAGGTGAGGACCTGGAATGAATTAAGGGGGAGGCAATATCAAGTGCACAGGGAAGGAAACTCTGGGATCAAAAGGACCAGTAAGCTAGATACATGCAGATTTTTTTTAATACTGATCCTAAATATGTGAAGAAACTGAATAAGAGGAACATATCAGGACTTCCCTGGTCCAGTGGTTGAGACACCACACATCCAATGCAGGGGGTCCAGGTTCTATCTCTGGTTGGGGAACTAAGATCTCACAGGCCACGTGATGTAGCCAAAAAATAATTTTTTTTAAAAAAAAGGAACATATTAAGGAGCAAAAAAATATTTAAGCTGTTTGGCTATGTGAAGAGTTAAGTAATAACAGGAACAAGGAATGGAGATAGTAGATAATTTTCTAAGAAAAGAAAATTCTTTCTTCTTTCCATGAAGACTGAGCCTGATGTTGAGAGAAAGTATTAGTTAAAAACACAGTGGGGAAGAACTGGATGAAATATACACACGAAAGTGCTAAATGTAGAAAGGAGGTAGGATAATTTACTCTATGCTCTATGAAGCCAGAGTAAAGTGTTAAAGGTAAAAAGGCAAGGGAAAGAGTAAAGAAAGTGAAACTTACTGAGGAAGCTCAGCCCAACTGCCTTCCCCATCAAGGATACTGAAAGTGTTTCTAAATCTTACACACTCATCTTAGCGCCCAGAGCTGGTGCTCCCCTCGCCTGCCTAGTGCTCACCTAACTGGGCTCCTGGGAAGACCCCTCTCTCGGTGACACACAGCTCTTCTCTTTGCTCCATATGGGAAGACATCCTGGTTTTGCAGAGTTGATCACCTGCTTATGGGAAAAGATGCAGGGTGTGAGCAAACTGTGCCTGCCATGCAACAGGGGCTGATACTCTGAAGCCTTCAGGGTCACTGGAGATGGAAACAGCAAAAAGGGCACACCTACATTCTGATGTAGGCTTCCAGCACAAAGGAACTAAGGTACAAGCTCTCTCAATGGGTCCCAAAGAACAGTAGGACTCTATAATCCCCACAACCCAGGGCCTGGCTCAAGAAGGCACTTAAGAAGCCCAGGAAGAGCAGACAGGCCTTCATTTCCATGAGGAAGCCACAAGACTATAATAAGCACCATGAGGGCAGGACCTGTCTGTCTCTTCACCTCTGGATTCCCCAGACTAGCACAGTTCTGGGAACCCACAGTAGCTGCATGAATGTGTGCACGAAGCAGCAAGGCCGGCCTTACCCACAGAGGCCAGGTTCCTGTAGTTCTCCAGCATCACGTCTCTGTACAGGCTTTTCTGGGCAGAGTCTAGAAACAGCCATTCTTCCGGTGTGAACAGCACGGCCACATCCGCGAAGGTGACTGGCTCCTAAAATGCACATCCAGGAGCTCAGCCAGAGGCCAGCCCCTCCAGGACTTAAGAGGACAGTGAGGGGCTTGCAGGCCTGGGGAAGGGAGACTCCCATGCACAGGATGTTCAGATATAGTTCTAAGGTCCCTCAGCTCGGGCCTCAGAACTGCAACTTTTCTCCATCTATTCTTCCCTCCAAAAATGAGAGCGTCCTGAAGTGTGGCAGCCAAGGACCTCAACTTCATGACAAGACTTAACTACTGACAAGTAGCCAGGACTTCCCTGGTGGCATAGTGGGTAAGAATCTGCCTGCCAATGCAGGGGACACAGATTCAATTCCTGGTCCGGGAAGATCCCACATGCCACGGGGCGACTAAGCCCACACGTCACAACTACTGATGCCTGTGTGCCCAGAGCCCATGCACCACAAGAAGAACAGCCACTGCAATGAGAAGCCCATGCACTGCAACGAAGAGTGGCCCTTGCTCGCTGCAACGAGAGAAAGCCTGAGCGCAGCTACAAAGACCCAGTGCAGCCAAAAGTAAATAAATGATTTAAAATAAAACAACAACTAGCCTGGAAATCCTCGCCCCTAACCCCAGGGTCCAGCAGGTGAGGTCACCGCTCGCCCACCACTAGAGGCCCAGTGCCTGGAAGCCTAGAGACCAGCCCTGTGGGGTTGAGAAGCTCCCAGACAAGGGGAGGGGACAAGGAGGCAAAGCCGGAAGAAGAGCAAGGACTTCCAGCTTACCTGTGGACAGGTGGCCAGTCCCCCAGGAGTCATGGCTGCTTCTTCTGTGCTCTCCTTCTGGAGCCAGGCAGGGCCCTGAGCAGACAGAGCTGCAGGAGAAAACGAGAGCCGTGAGAGGGTCTCAGCGGCAGGGCTGAGGCTGCCCACCGTGACTGTGCGTGACCACAGGTGCACACACTCCCTTGGACAAACACACACACACGTACTGTACACTGAGATGTGCATGTACATATGCTTTCACACACCCACAGCTACTTGGGCACGTGGGCACACTCACCCACACCGGTACCCACACATGCATACACTATGTGCAGAGACACACACACACAGACACCGCTAAGAGGCCCAGCACCACACATACACAAGCACACACACACATCCACAGAAATATACAGAAACACACACAGCTCTTTCATCTCAGCCGCCAATATGCCAACCAAACTAAGGAAGACCTGAAAACTTAGAGGGCACATGAGCCACGGCTGCATCATGGGAAACACCCAGGAAGCTGAGCTAACACTGGTGGCCTGCTTCACCACAGGATCAACTTGAACGAATACCACCCAGGAGACGTTGGGAAAGTTGGTACAAGGCATTACCACTTAAAGGGGAACCAGAGCTTCTGTCCAACTGTCAACCTTGATAAACTGTTGACCTTGGTCAGTGAGAAGATCCAGATAAGTGCTGTTGAGAATAAGAATGAAGCTGTCCTATCACTGATGTGATCAGAAAGATCTGGGGAACAAAAAGCTCCCAAAGCAGCCTGTCATCATGAAGGCCAAATTCTACAGCAGAAGAGCTGAGAAGAAAACTAAGGGTGTGGGAGGGGCTTGCGGAGAAGGAAATGGCAACCCACTTCAGTATTCTTGCCTGGGAAATCCCAGGGACAGAGGAGCCTGGCGGGTTACAGTCCATGAGGTCAAAAGGGGTTGGACACGACTTAGCAACTGAACACCACCACACCAGCCTGAAGCCACATGGTGGGAAATTCATTAAATGTCAAGTGCTTCTGCATGGAACTCTGTTCAATGTTATGTGGCAGCCTGGATGGGAGGGGAGTTTGGGGGACAACGGATACATGTATACATATGGCTGAGTCCTATATATATGACTCAGCTTCACTCTTCGCCTGAAACTATCACAACATCACTAACTGGCTATACCCCAATAAAAACTAAAATGTTTTTATTTTTAATGTTAACAAGTGCTTTAAAAAAAGAAACACACACACATTTCCTCCATTCCAAATCTCTGGAGCCACAGTCTCGACTCACCAACAGACGGTGAGGTTTCTACAGTGCCCCTTTCTCCCCCTTGACTCGGCCCTGAGTCTGTTCCTCCCTTACTGCAGGGCCCCTTCCTCTGCCCCAGCTCTGCAGGGCTGGTACCGCCCAGGACTTACCACAAGCAGAGCAGAGAAACCACCACTTCCCTGGGAGCCTGCCTGAGAAGGAAGCATCCTTCCTTTCCCGTCTTCAGATCGGTAACATTCCTCTCCTACACCAGGCTCCTCACTCTGGCCTGTTACAGAGAAGTGATGCCCCACAATCCCACTTCCCGATACCCCCAATTCCCCTCTCAGTGGGACTTTTCCCTTGGTCATTAAATCTGAACCACGTCCAATCCCTGATCCCATGGTATTAGTTTCCCAGGGCAGCTATTTAAAAAAAAAAAAAACCACAACTGGGTGGCTTAAAACAACAGAATTGTATCTCTCAGAGTTCCAGCAGCCAGAAGTCCAGGATCAAGCCATTGGCAGGGCCACACTCCCTCTCAGACTCCGGCTGAGTCATTCCTTGCCTTTTCTTGACTTATGGTGGTTGTTGTTATTCAGTCCTTAAGTCATATCCGACTCTTTGCGACCGCAAAGACTGCAGCACACCAAGTTCCCCTGTCCTTCACTACCTCCCAGAGTTTGCTCAGATTCATGTCCATTGAGTCAGAGATGCCATCTAACCAACTCATTCTCTGTCGCCTCCTTCTCCTCCTGCCTTCAATCTTTCCCAGCATCAGGGTCTTTTCCAGTGAGTCAGGTCTTTGCATCACATGGCCAAACTACTGGAGCATCAGCTTCAGCATCAGTCCTTCCAATGAATATTCAGGACTGATTTCCTTTCGGGTTGACTGGTTTGATCTCCATGCAGCCGAAGAGACTCTCAGGAGTCTCCTCCAGCACCACAATTCAAACGCATCAATTCTTTAGCACTCAGCCTTCTTTATGGTCCAACTCTCACATCCATACATGACTACTGGAAAAACCTTGGCCCCTGGTGGTGAAGGTCAATCCTGGGCTTGTAACTGCGTCCCTCAAATTGCTGCCTCTGTTGTCATGTGACCTTCTCCCCCACGTGTCCCTGTCTTCACAAGGCATCTTCCCCTTCTTAAAATGGCACCGTTCATATGGGATTAGGGTCCACTGCCATGACCTCACCTTAACCTGATGTCATCTGCAAAGACTCTATTTCCAAACAAGGTCACATTCACAGGTACCAAGGGTGAGAACTTCAATAGAGTCTGGTGGGGCGGTGGGGCGGCAGGGTGGGGTGGGGGGGGAGGTACAATACAGCTATAATACCCCACCTCTCCCTCTGGCTACTGTTTTCTCTCTCTGTTCCCCATCATGGGCAAACTCCTATACTCATTCCCTCAACTCGGATTCAGTTCCAAAACACCACCATTCAACAACCAGCACCTCACTAGAGTCCCCTGTGACCTCCATCTCCAGGGAGGATCTAGTAGAAATGTTCAGTCATCCAATCCCCCTATGTTAAAGTCCACCCCGCCTGGGCTTCAGAGGGCTTCCCTGGTGGCTCAGTTGGTAAAGAATCTGTCTGCAATGCGGGAGACCTGGGTCAGGAAGATCCCCCTGGAGAAGAGAATGGCAACCCACTCCAGTATTCTTGCCTGGAAAACACCATGGACAGAAGAGCCTGGTAGGCTACAGTATATGGGGTCACAAAGAGTCGGACATGAAAGAGTGACTACACATTTCCACTTTGCTGGGCTTCGGCACCCAAACCGCCAGCCTCCTCCACTCCTGCACAAGTTCCTGCCCCGTCACTTGCTGGTGTCCCATCAGGACGCCAGCATGCTTCTCCTGCGTTGGCAGGTGGGTTCTTTACTGCTGAGCCCCCAGTCCCCCTCCCATAAGTGCCCCCAGTTGTCTGGTAAATGAATGTATACATGACCCATCAAACTATCTCAACTTGACCTCCTGAATACATCTTACATAGTTCCATGCTTCCCTCGGAGAAGGCAATAGCAGCCCACTCTAGTACTCTTGCCTGGAAAATCCCATGGACGGAGGAGCCTGGTAGGCTGTGGTCCATGGGGTCGCGAAGAGTTGGGCACCACTGAGCGACATCACTTTCACTTTTCACTTTCATTCACTGGAGAAGGAAATGGCAACCCACTCCAGTGTTCTTACCTGGAGAATCCCAGGGACGGGGGAGCCTGATAGGCTGCCATCTATGGGGTCACACAGAGTCGGACACAACTGAAGCGACTTAGCAGCAGCAGCAGCAGGCTTCCCTACTGTGCAGACGAAAGTTAACATAGCCCTCCTGACTGCTCTCCTTAGCAAGGCCAGCTGGCAAGGCTGGCCCTTAGTTGGCCTCTGGGAACTTGGATTTCTTTTTGCTTTTCCTTTTAAGACTTCTATTTTAATTCCTTTTTTTTTTTTTTTTTCTGCACCGCACAGTATGTGGGATCTTAGTACCCCGACCAGGGATTGAACCCATGCCCCCTGCATTGGAAGCATGGGGTCTTAACCACTGGACCACCAGGGAAGTCCCAGAACTTGGATTTCAATACAGTTCCCCAACCCTAACTGGTAAGAGGGGCTCACTCTGCTTAAACTGTCTGTACAAAAATGAGGTCCATGTTGGATGCCTTCTTTCTTTCCAGAAGCCTGGAGTTTAGGTATGTGCTGGGCAGATGGTGCCTACAGACCAGCCCCCAGGGAAAACCCTGGGCTCTGAGTCTATAATGAACCTCCCTGTAAATTTCACTGCGCACATGCTGTCACAGCTTGCTGCTGAAGGAATTCAGCATGTCCTGTGTGGTTCCACTAGGAGAGGACTCCAAAAGCTTGTGCCTGGGTTCCTGCAGGTGTCATCCCAAAAGCCTTTTCCCTTTGCTGATTTTACTTTGCATTCCTTCACTGGAATAAATCAGAGCCATGAGTACAACAGTAAGCTGAGTTTGGGGCATGGCCTTAGGGACCCATGACACGCCTACTCCATACTCACTCCCCAGTCAGACTGAGAGCTCCCTGGGGGAGGGCGTCAGGGGTTTGTCTGCAATTGTTTCCCAGTGCCCTTCTCACCACGGGATGACAGTCTAGAGCACTTCCAGAGTACTTTAAGAGCAAAGAGTACTCCAAGTACTCCATGAGTACTTTATAGCACAGATGGCCAAAAGTCACATAAAAAGATACACAACATCGCTAGTCATCAAAGACATGCAAATCAAAACTACAGTCAAGTATCACCTCACACCTGTCAGGATGGCCATGATCAAAAAATCTACAAACAATAAATGCTGCAGAGGATGTGGAGAAAAGGGAACCCTCCTTCACTGTTGGTGGGAATGTAAATTGATACAGTCACTATGGAGAACAGTATGGAGGCTCCTTAAGAAACTAAAAATAGTACTACCATGTGACTCAGCAACCCCTCTCCTGGACATATACCTGGAGAAAATCATAATTCAAAAAGATACGTGCACTCCAGTGTTCACTGCAGCACGATTTACAATAGCCAGGATATTGAACCAACCTAAATGTTCATTGAGAGAGAAACAGATAAAGAAGACATGGTATATATATACAATGGAATATTGTATGTGCTATATTTTCAGTTGTGTCCAACTTTTGCGACTCCATAGCCTGTGGCATGCCAGGCTCCCCTGTCCATGGGATTCGCTAGGCAAGAATACTAGAGTGGGTTGTCATGCCCTCCTCCAGGGGATCTTCCCGATCCAGGGATCAAACCCACATCTCTTTTGTCTCCTGCATTGGCAGGCAGGTTCTTTACCACGAGTGCCACCTGGGGAGCCCATAAATGATGAGATGACTTTATATATTCTCTCCCTAAGACAACGACTGCAGTCAGAAGAAAGGAAGGTGGATCCAAGTTCCCAGACACAACAGAACACAACACAGCAGGGTCCTCTGGCTGTAATTCCACCAGGCGCTCACTCACCAGCACCCCCAGCCCTCCACAGTCTGGGGAGGCCCAGCGCAGGCTCTGGCGTGGCCACCCTCTGCATCTGCACAGCCACCTTCAGCCCCTGGACAGAGTGACAGGAACAGATTATAGACTCACAACATGGGTGGGATCCGCTCACACCTGCTCACCCGGACTGAACTGGTGTAACTGGCCCTGCTTTGGGAAACATGCTAAGAGTAGGGACAAGCCTCGTTCCCCACATCCAGGTTGACAACTCCTCAACACAAAGCTAGTCAGTGTCATGGAATTTCAAGCCCAAGATGGGACAGAGAGAGGGAACCCGGGTAGGGAAGGCCTCATCTAAGCAGCCTCTTGGAGCAGGGGACATCCTGGGGCACGGAGGAGCAGTGGATGGCCAGGAGACTGAGGGGTGAGGGAGGAGGCATGGGTGGAACCCTGCAAATGAGGGGGTGTTAGTAAACTATTCCCAAGGGGAAAATCCCTGCTGTGGAAGAAAGGACGGGAACCCTCCTACACCAACGGCCACTCCCTCGGGAAAGGTGTCTGAACCAACTTGTTTTGTTTTGTTTTTTTAATTTACATTTGGCTCTACTGGGACTTTGTTGCTGCGCCTGGGCTTTCTCTCATTGTGGTGGGCAGGAGCTACGCTCTAGTTGCGGTGAGGGGATTCTCACTACAGTGGCTTCTCTTTTTGCAGAAAACAGGTTCAACAGTTGTGGCTCTTAGGCTCTAGAGCTCGGGCTCAATAGTTGCGGTGCACGGTCTTAGTTGCCCCGTGGCACATGGAATTTCCTGGATGAGGGATCGAACTCATGTGCCCTGCATTGGCAGGTGGATTCTTAAACCACTGGACCACCAGGAAAGCCCCTGACTTCTAGAGGATGTCTCTGGCCTCCATGTCCAGCAGGAGGCTGGGTCCAGGAGAACTAACAGTGGCTCTGGGCAAGGTGGTGGCACCAGGACCAGGAGCAGCAGTCAGAGGCAGGTTCATATTTTGGAGGAAAAGATGGCAGGACTTGGTGGAGGATGGGAAGCAAATGTGGCTGGTCCTCAGGGCAGGTGATGGGTGGGAGACAGGGGAGAATAGGCCCTTCTCCTCAGGGCAGGGCTCCAAGCACACCTTAAAGTGTCCTTCTGTGTAACTCTCTCCACCTCAGAACCAGAACATAAGGCCCTGAGCCAAGAGCATGGTGACTGGCTTAGACACTCTCCACACAGCCCTTGGGTCACAGGACCTGCTCATTCCTGCAGGTTTCCTGGCCATGGAAAGGGTGGAAGGACTGAAGAAGAAAATCTGAACCCAGAGAGGCAAGACCTGGACCCTGGGTGCCACCCCCTCCCCTAGGACTGCCCAGGGCCTGACATCAGGCTGGAGATATTTACACTCAATGCAGAAACACCAAGGCCTGTTCAGTAGTTCTCACCAGGAGCTAAGCCTGGGCCTCCAGCATGTTCCCAATTTCCAATCTAGTTGGCCTTCCATTCCTCCCTCCCTCCTACCTCCCCACTTACAGACATATCCTGAACCTTGGGCCTTCTTGACAGAGGCTGGGGCCCTCCTGGCAGACCACCTCCCAGGCTGACTGCATATTCAGAAGACTGCTGGAGAGCTGACCAGTCCTCTGGAGCTGGAGGCATCACCTCCTCTTCCATCTCAGACTTGATCTCTATCTTCAGGTCCAGCTCTGGCCCCTGGGAAAAGGAGTGGAGGGTGCTAAGCAGGAAGAGGTGGTATGGAGGCTGTCCTCACCCTAAGAGACCCAAAGTTTGGGAGTAGTGCCATCAGAATTTGGGGTTCGTGGGACTTCCCTGGTGGTCCAGTGGCTAAGACTCTGCACTCCCAATGCAGCAGGCCTGGGTTCTATCCCTGGTCAGGGAACTAGATCCCACTTGTCACAACTAAAGTGTTAATTGCTCAGTCTGACTCTTTGCGACCCCATGGACTCTAGTCCGCCAGGTTCCTCTACCCATGATTCTCTAGGCAAGAATACTGGAGTGGGTTGTCAATTCTCTTCTCCATGGGGATCTTCCTGACCCAGGGATCAAACCTGGGTCTCCCACATTGCAGGCAGATTCTTTTTACTGTCTGAGTGACCAGGGAAGCCCATGTCACAACTAAGACCCAGACAAATTAATTAATTAAGAAAAGAATTTGGGCAACATGGGTCTGGCAGTTTCAGGCCTGGCAACTCTCCCTGCTTCACTGTGGGCACCAGCCACTGAGGGTCTCTGAGAACCGACTGCACCAGAGACTTGGACACACATAGCTGGTCCTTTTCTGGTTCTGGGGAGCCCATGGCTGGAGGGTAGACCACCAACCCTCAGAGGCACTGAGAGATATTTCACTAGAAAGGTTTTTGCTCTGTTCCAGGCAGCACTGCACAGCTTGTGAAATCTTAGTTTGCTGACCAGGGATTAAACTCAAGACCCCGGCAGTGAAACTGCAGAGTCCTAACCACTAGACTGCCAGGGAGTCCCTAAAAAGGTTTTTACAGAAAAACTGGGAGCACTTAGTTCTGAATATAAACACTCTTCTGTGTTTTCCCAGGTTCTGTATCTGCCTATCTGGCATCTGTCAACCACAGGGCCACAGTTAGTTATCCACATCTCCCGTGACCCACAGCCCACACTCTGAACCGCCTCCTTTATGGAATTCTCACACACCAAGCCAATATTCCTCCCACCCTAAATCACCCACTTCATGTCCTGGAGGAAACATCTTGGCTCAAGTGTCTGCCTGGCTCTGGTGTGTGCATCCAACTCAGCTACTCCTCACCTTCTCCGATGAAAGGGAATGAAGAATCATGCCCCATCAATCTTACCATTTGCAAATCATAGGATGAGTTTTCCATTGAAATATCCTGCAGAGGAGTAGGCTCTTTGGGTGTAAATTGAGATTCCCAGTCTAAAATGAATGGGGGGGAAAAAATTACTTTATTTCAGAAAGAAGTCATGGTATGAAACTGACACACACATTTTTTTTTTAATATTGACCCTAAACTTGGGACAATACTGAAAGGTAGAAGGTATCAATGAGCAAGCTTGCATTCTGCCGTGTGCTCAATCATGTCCAACTCTCTGTGACCCCATGGACTGTAGCCTGCCAGGCTCCTCTGTCCATGGGATTCTTCAGGCAAGAATACTGGAGTGGGTTGCCATTTCCTCTCTCCGATCCTGGGGAGAGTCTCTTGTGTCTCCTGCATTGGCAGGAAGATTCTTTACCACTGCAGTGAGCAAAGGGAGATTCTAAAGAGTAGGGCTGTGTGTAGAGTCAGGCAGTGATGGGATGAGGTGGAAACCAGAGGCTTGTCCTGGTAAAAGAATTCATGGAGGCTTTTTTTAATATTTAGTTATTTTTGGCTGTGCTGGGTCTTCACTGAGGCCCATGGGATCTTCACTGCAGTGCATGCGCTTATCTCTAGTTGTGGTCCACAGGCACATGGGCCTTGTAGTTGCAGCTCAAGGGGTCTCTAGCTCTGGCGCTGGGGCTTAGTTGCCCCTTGGTATGTGGGATCTCAGTTCCCTGACCATGTATGGAGCCTGCATCCCATGCACTGGAAAGTGGATTCTTAACCAATGGACTACCAAGGAAGCCCCCTCCATGGAGATTTAGACTGATATTGCCAGAAAGTGTGTTATCAGGGAAACAGGAGCAATCAAACAAGAAATATATATAGAAATGTTCAATATAAAAATGAACGCAGTTATACTGCAATACAAAATAAAAAGTTTGAAGAAGAAAACAAATTTAAAAAAAAAAAAAAAGAAGACAAACATGACTTCCCTGGTGGTCCAGTGGTTAAGGGTCCACACTCCCAATGCAAGGGACCTGGGTTTAATCCCGGGTCAGGGAACTAAGATCCCACAGGCCACTGCAAGTAAAGACCCTTTGTGCTGCAACTAAGTCCTGCCACAACCAAATAAATAAATAAATATTTTCAAATTTAAAAAAAACTAAACAAAAACTGTGTGTGTGATATCGAGAAATCAGAATCCTCACCAACCACTGGGGGAAAGGTAAACTAGTGTCCTTAATCTCAAAAGAGGTCAACAGAGGATCAGACTGTTGGATGGCACAACCAAAACAACAGACGTGGACTTGGGCAAACTCCAGGAGATAGTGAAGGTCCGGGAGATAGTGAAGGACAGGGAAGCCTGTTGGGCAAACTCAGGGATATCGTGAATGACAGGGAAGCCTGGCGTGCTACAGTCCATGGGGTCACAAAGAGTTGGACATGACTTGGTAACTGACCAAGAACAACAACAAATCTCAAATGCAGTTTGACTGAAATTGAAGCTGTGATCAAAAACCTCCCAAAAAACAAAAGCCCGTGGCCCGATGGCTTCACAGGAGAATTCTATCAAACATTTAGAGAAGAGATAATGCCTGTTCTTCTAAAACTCTTTCAAAAAACTGCAGAGGAATGAACATTTCCAAACTCATTCTACAAGGCCACCATTACCCTGATACCAAAACCAGACAAAGACAACACAAAAAAAGAAAACTACAGGCCACTGTCACTGATGAACATAGATGTAAAAATCCTCAACAAAATTTTAGCAAATGGAACTCAGCAACACATCAAAAAGACAAACTTGTGACTTCCCTGGTCAAGTTGGGTTTATTCCAGGAATGCAAGGATTCTTCAATATACACAAATCAATCAATGTGATACACCATATTAACAAATTGAAAGATAAAACCATATGATCATCTCAATAGAGGCAGAAAAAGCCTTTGACAAAATTCAGCACCGATTTATGATTAAAACTCTTCAAAAAATGGGCACAGAAGGAACCTACCTCAACATAGTAAAGGCCATGTATGATAAACCTACAGCAAACATTACTCTCAATGGTGAAAAACTGAAAGCATTCACCCTAAGATCAGGAACAAAACAAGGATGTCCACTTTCACCACTATTATTCAACATAGTTCTGGAAGTCCTAGCTACAGGAATCAGAAAAGAAAGAGAAATAAGAGGAATCCAGATCAGAAAAGAAGAAGTAAAGCTCTCACTGTTTGCAGATGACATGATACTGTACATGGAAAACCCTAAAGAGAGTATCAGAAAATTACTAAAGCTAATCAGTGAATTTAGCAAAGTTGGAGGATACAAAATCAATGTACAGAAATCACTTGCATTTCTATATACTAAAAATGAAAAATAAGAAAGAGAAATTAAGGAATCAATCCCATTCACCATTGCAACAAAAAGAATTAAAAATCTAGGAATAAACTTACCTAAGGAAACAAAAGGACTGTACACAGAAAATTATAAGACACTGATGAAANACCTAGATGTCCACTGACAGATGAATGGATAAAGAAGTTGTACTACATATACACAATGGAATATTACTCAGCCATAAAAAGGAACTCATTTGAGTCCGTTCTGATGAGGTGGATGAACCTAGAACCTATCATACAGAGTGAAGTGAGTCAGAAAGAGAAAGATAAATATCGTTCATATTTGCACACACATATATGGAATCTAGAAAGATGGTACTGAAGAATTTATTTACAAGGCAGCAATAGAGAAACAGACATAGAGAATAGACTTATAGACATGGGGAGAGGGTAAGATGTATGGGAAGAGTAACATGGAAACTTTCATTACCACATGTAAAATAGATAGCCAATGGGAATTTGCTGTATGGCTCAGGAAACTCAAACAGGGGCCCTGTATCAACCTAGAGGGGTGGGATGGGGAGGGAGATGGGAGGGAGGTTCAAAAGGGAGGGGATATATGTATACCTATGTCTGATTCATGTTGAGGTTTGACAGAAAACAGCAAAATTCTGTACAGCAATTATCCTTCAATAAAAAAAAAAAAATGACCCAGCAATTCCACACCTAAGTGGAATTCTCACACTCAAGAGAAATGAAAACACATCCACAAAACTCCCTGCACACCAATGTTCAGAGCAGCACTACTCACAGTCACCAAAAGTAAAAACACACATCCACCACCTGATGGGTCAACAGAATGGATCAACAGAATGTGGTCCTTCCACAAGCAGGGCTGCCATTTGGCCTTAAAAAGCAATGCATTTCATGCTATGACATGAAGGAGCCTCAAAAACACGATGCTGAGTGAAAGAAGACAGATACGGATGTATGATTCCATCTGTATGAAATGTCCAGGACAGGCAAATCCACAGAGACAGAAGGTGGATTAGCAGTTGCTGGGGGCTGCGGGAGGAGGGATAGGAAGTGACTGTTAATCAGAAGAGGATTTCTTTTTGAGGTGATGGAAGTGTTCCAGAGCTGGACAGTGGTGATGGCTGCACAACTTTGTGAATATACTAAAAACCTGTGAAATGTACACTTTAAAAGGGTGTATTTTACAGTGTGTGAATATCTCAATTTAAAAAAAAAAGACAAGTTGATTTGCAGGGCAGGAATAGAGACACAGATATAGAGGACAGACTTGTGGACACAGAGAGGGAAGGAGAGGGTGGGACAAACTGAGAGAGTAGCGCTGAAACATATACATTACCATATGCAAATCAGATAGCTAGCAGGAAGTGCCTGTATAACACGGGGAGCTCAACCAGTGCTCTAGAGTGGTGGGATGGGGTCGTGGGGGTGGGAAGGAGGTTCAAGAGACAGCGGATGTGTGTATACTTGTGGCTGATTCACGTTATGGAATAGCAGAAGCCAACACAACACTGTAAAGCAATTATCCTCTGATTTTTAAAAAAGAATACACTTAAAAAGAAAAAACCTTTAAAAAAATTGAAATAGACATTTTTTCTTTTAACTTTTAAAATTTATTTATTTTTAATTGGAGGATAACCACTTTACAATGCGGTGCTGGTTTCTGCCATACATCAACATAAATCTGAAACCAACATTTAGAGGAGAGTTAGAAAGTGAAAAGAAGAAGAGTTAAAGGAACTCACCCCAAACAGTCTTATTTCCCCTCAGAATAAAGAATTTTACAAATACTCTCAAACTAGCACTTCCCAGCAGCACCCACCTCTCAAGCCCAATCTGGGTGGGTCACGACATCCTATGCCCCCGGGTACTCACCCACACCTGTGGCACAGAGAACGCTGTGCTCCGCTGCTTTCAGCTCTTCTCTTGGCTCCACCTGGGAGACGAGACTGGCTTTGCATGGTGGAGTCCCTGCTGCTGGAGAAGGACATATGGGCCGAGGGAGGGAGGGCTTGCAGGGGAAACTAAATGCTTCCCCAGCCTGCCCACTCTCCACCTGGGCCTTAGCTCCTGAAGCCAAGCAAGTAGGCGGGGACCTAAGCAATCACATTCAATTTTTTTTTTTTTTAATGAATTCAATGAGGTTCCTTTACAAGGGTCCAAACCACAAACACTCTCCTCTCTACCCTTCTGAACTGAGGTTCTCTACGTTCCAAGACCAAACTCGAGGAGACCTATGTAGGTCCTGACCATAGAGAAGTATTAGTTGCTTAGTTGTGTCCAACTCTTTGCAACCCCCATGAACTGTATAGCCTGCTAGGCTCCTCTGTGGTTCCTCTATCCATGGAATTCTCCAGGCGAGAATACTTGAGTGGGTAGCCATTCCCTCCTCCAGAGGATCTTCCTGACCCAGTGACTGACCCTGAGTCTCCCACAATGCAGGTAGATTCTTTACCATCTGAGCCACCAGGGAAGCCCTGACTACAGAGAGACTGAAGTCCACTCAATGCATAAAGCTGTTATCCTATGAAAGCCCATGAATGACAAACCATATGGAACCCACACCGCATCACTGTGGCCAAGTGGCAGGCACTTAAAGGGCATTTTCAGGGCTTCTCCGCCTACCAATGCAGGAGACATGGTGGCTTCAATCTCTGGTCCAGGAAGATCGCTCATGCTGTGGGGCCACTAACCCCATGGACCACAACTACTGAGCCAGTGCTCTAGAGCCAGGGAGCTGCAACCACTGAAGCCTGCGCATCCCAGAGCTTGTACTCCACAATAGGAGAAGTCGCTGCAGTGAGAAACACGCGTACCACAACCAGAGAGGAGATCCCGCTTGCCCCAAGTAGAGAAAGACCCAGCACAGCCATAAGTAAATAAATAAGCAAATTTTTTTTAAAAAAAAAAGAGCATCTGCATACAGGAAGAACGAGAGAAGCGAAAGCCTTACCCCTGGGCGCCGGGGTCCTGCAGTTGTCCTGCAGTACGCGTCTGCACAGGTTCCTCCCGGCATCGTCCAGCAACGTCCACTCCTGGATGAGCTCCATCGCCACATCCTCTAAGGTGACTGATTCCTAAGGCAGCGCATGTATTGTGGCTCAGCAAGGACCACCCCCACCATTCTGCAGAATGAGGGTTTATCCCTTGGGGAAGGCAGACCCAGTGCGAGAATATTCAGAGAATATTCTCTGCAAAGCTGGGCTCAGCAAACCTGGCCTGCCTCCTGTTTGTCTAAATAAAGTTTTATTGGCACACGGCCACACCCATCTGTTCATCTCTGTGGCTGTCATTGTGCTACTAGGGCAGAACTGAAGAGTTGCTGGGACAGAGCTCATATGGCGTACCCAACCAAAAATAATTATTTTCTTTTAACATTTGGACAAATCTGAAAGTATAAGCTTTGGCTCTCTGCTGCTCCACTATCCAGTGATGATAAAGCCTGTCCTTCTCAGATGTACTGAGTATTTCCTGAACTCCTTATTCAAGGCATGAGAAGTCTGAACTTGCTCTTTTCATTTTCATGAAGTCCCTAGGATGAGTCATTGTTTTATGCCTGTTAAAACTGAACTTCCGTTGCATCTGAGAAACGTGATGGCCTTTTAATCTCGAAATCCTCTGGAACAGCACTGACTGGTAAAGCTCTCTGTCATGAATGGAATGTTCTATGCCTGCACTTTCCAAAAAAAGGCAGCCACCAGCACGTGTGGCTCCTGAGCACTTGAGAAATGTGGTCTGGTAACTGAGAAGCTGAGGTTTAAATTTTGTTGGATTTTAATTAACCTTAATTTTTAGAGCCACATGTGTTTTCAGTAGGTCTCACAAGCGATGGTAAAGATGGCCGTGGAGGAGTTCTGCGGCTGCCGGCTCAGTCTGAGCCCCCTCACTGCCATTAGACTGTGGAATTAGGTACCAAACCCCAAGGTTGCTTTGGGAACCCTCCATCCTCACCAGTTCCCTCCAGAACTGCAGGTCATGCACTGAAAGAGGCTAAAAAGTCCCGGGGACGGGGCTAAAGATGCTCCACACTTCCCTCCCCTTTCTGAGAGAGCAGACAGGGCCCCAAGTACAAGATTTTCCCACCCCCACAACCATCCAGGCTCAATCTTCCCCCTCACCATGATACCAGCGCCAGGGTTTAAAGTTTCAGTGTGTGTCCTTCCTGCAATAAGAAAGATGGAGGTAAAAGGAGAAATGAGACTGGAAGCAGAACATCAAGCAGCAGTCTGGCCCGGGTAATTAATTCCATTTCTGTGGACCATGAGCAGGGCGGCCAAGCCAAACAGCCTCACTCGGAAATTTACTTCAATACGCAACATATTGGGCCCCTCGTCATCTTTCACATCACAGGCCCTGACCATTCCTACTGACTCCTCTCACGTAATAAAAGGACCACTTCTCCTCTTTGTTGTTGTTGTGTGGTCACTAAGTCATGTCTGACTCTTTGCAGCACCATGGACTGTAGCCCACCAGGCTCCTCTTGTCCATGGGAGTTCCCAGGCAAGAACACTGGAGTGGGTTACCATTTCCTTCTCCAGGGGATCTTCCTGGACCAGGGATGGAACTTGAGTGTCCTGCATCAGCAGGCGGATTCTTTACCACTGAGCCACCTAGGAAGCTCCCTTAAAACACCTCAAGGGACTTCCCTAGCAGTCTGGTAATTAAGACTTCACCTTTCAATGCAGGGAGTTCGAGTTCTATCCCTGGTCAGACAGCTAAGATCCCACATGCCTCATGGCCAAGGAACCAAAACAAAAAAGAAACATCATTCCAACAGATTAAATGAAAATTTAATTATAAAAAGTCCACATCAATAACAACGAAAAAAAATTTTTTTATAAACAAAAAAACACTTTCTACTAACACTTTCTACTTTTTCTCCACTACCCTTATCAAGTTGGGATTTTTACATGATGTGTTTAGGTGAGTTTGCCTCTCTCTCTCCAACCACGACGTAAACCCTCCAAGTACAGAACTGTGTCCCTAAAATTAAAAGATGCTTGCTTCTTGAAAGAAAAGCTGTTACAAACCTAGACAGTGACCTAAAAAGCAGAGACATCACTCTGCTGACAAAGGCCCGTGCAGTCAAAGCTATGGTTTTTCCAGTAGTCATGTACGGATGTGAGAGCTGGACCGTAAAGAAGGCTGAGCACTGAAGAATTGATGCTTTCGAGCTGTTGTAGAAGACTCTTGAGAGTCCCTTGGACAGCAAAGAGATCAAACCAGTCAATCCTAAAAGAAATCAACTCTGAATAATCATTGGAAGGACTGATGCTAAAGCTGATGCTCTAATATTCTGGCCACCTGATGCGAAGAGCTGACTCACTGGAAAAGACCCTGATGCTAGGAAAGACTGAGGGCAGGAGGAGAAGGGGGCAACAGAGAATGAGATGATTGAATGGCATCACTGACTCAATGGACATGAGTTTGAACAAACTCCAGGATATGCTGAAGGACACAGAAGCCTGGGGTGCTGCAGTCCATGGGGTCACAAAGAGTCGGTCATGACTTACTGACTGAACAACAACCACTTTCTTCAGGACTCCAAATCCTGCCACCGGCACGGCACTTGATGCATACTTTATGTATTAGAGGTTGGCAAGCTTTTTCTATAGACGGCTACATAGTTAATAGCTTAGGATGTGTGGGCCACAGCACCTCCCTGGTGGTCCATAGCTAAGACTCCGCACTCCCAATGCAGGGGGCCCAGGTTTGATCCCTGGTCAGGGAACTATATCCCACATGCCGCAACTAAGAGTTCACATGGTGGGCTTCCCTGGTGGCTCTGGTAAAGAATACGCCTGCCAATGCAGGAGACACAGGTTCGATCCCTCATCAGGGAAGATCCCACTTGGCTCAGAGCAACTAAGCCTGTGCACAACTACTGAGCCTATGCTCCAGAGCCTGGGAACTGCAACTACTCAGCCCACGTGCTACAACTCTGAAGCTCACATGCCTACAGCCCATGCTCCGCAACAAGAGAAGCCACCACAATGAGAAGCCCGTGCACCGCAACTGGAGAGTAGCCCCCACTTGCCACAACTAGAGAAAAGTCCGTGCAGCAACAAAGACCCAGCACAGTCAAAAATAATAAATAAATGATGCAATCAGGAATTAAGGGGGAAAAAGTCTGTGAGCCACATGTATGGCAACTATTTAATTGTGACTGTAGCACAGAAACAGCCATAGGGAGCATGCAAACACATGTGCTCCAATGAGTGAATGAGTGAGTCACTCAGTCGTGTCCAACTCATTGTGACCCCATGGACTGTAGCCTGCCAGGCTCCTCTGTCCATGGAATTCTCCAGGCAAGAATATTTGTGTTTTATCTCCATGCTAAATCCAGAAGCTACTGTTTTGTTTAAATCATCAACAAAATCATATTACTCCCTACTTAAAACTCTGATTCAATGGCTTCCAAATGGCCTTAGAACAAGGTCCAAAGCTTACCATGATCTTCCAGGCCCTCCTTCCTCTCCACCCAACACTTTCACTCCACACTTGGCTTCCGGTTTTAACTTTCTCCATCTTTTCTCAGCTCCTAGAACACACCAGGCTTTGTACTACTTGAGAGATTATGCCTCTATGGTTCTTTCAAATCTCTTCCCTACTCCAATTCCACAGCCTGACTCTTTGTCTAGCTATATACAACGCATCTTTCAGGTTCAGACGTTTGTCCCTTTTAAGATACTTTTCCTGACTTTCTTAAGTTCTCCTGTTCTGTGTTTTCTATTGGTTTAGCCACAAAGTTCAAATGGAATTTTGTGTAACATCTTATGAATGTGTCAACTACAACTGGCACTTGTCAAGGGCATCAGCCACCTGCCTCTCCTGGGACTGTATCCTGTGATGATGCTGCCACTGCTACTGACCTCTGACATGCCCTGAAGGGAGTTCAGGGCGGAGAGTTTGAATGAGGCACATTGCCTCAGGAAAACTGGTGGAACAGGTCTTCAGATAGATATTTTTAGGAACTGGTTTTATGAACCCAATCTTTTCATCTCCTCATATCTAGAAAAGCTCGAACTGCCTTCACGATGACATCAGCTCCTCATGACGAGCAGAAAACCTTCTGCAAAGTAAGCAGCTGGTTACACTGAACTCCCCCTTCACCAAAATCTTATATATTGACCTTCCTGCCCCTACCTCTTGGGAGCAGTTTCTCAGAACTATCTGAGGTGCTGTCTCCTGGGCTGCAGTCCTCATTTTGCTCCAGATAAAACAACACACATCTCTCAAGTTGTGCAATTTTTCACACTGTGCAATATTTTTAAGTCGCTACATACATCACCCTTATTGTCAATTTAAAATCTGTCTTCCCAGCTAGACTAAAACCTCCACAGGGGCAAGTGCTGAATCTATTTTGGTCACATTGTTTCCCCTGTTCAGGGCCCAGTCTGTTAAATATCGCCCCCCACCAATGAAAATGTGCCCAAAAAATCAACTCAAGAATAAATCAGTATAGCCAGATTAAAAAGGCACGTGCCTGCATACACACCACCACCACCACCACCAAAGTCAAAAATAAAAATAATTTTAAATGCCTGATATAAAATCACAACACCAGATTTCAGGTATCTTTAAGAATTGATTCCTTCTAAAAAGACAGTGGGACATGAATTCTCTGAAAAGAAATACCTCATTCATGAAATCAAAATCTGACATTTAATTTTCCTCCAGAATTAATTTCTTCCTCATTTCTTATTAGAAGTGAGTCTTAAACACAAACCAAAACCACAATGAGGTACCATCTCACCAAGGTCAGAACGGCTGCCATCTACAAACAAAAGTCTACAAACAATAAATGCTGGAGAGGGTGTGGAAAAAAGGGAACCCTCTTACACTGCTGGTGGGAATGCAAACTAGTACAACCACTATGGAGAACAGTGTGGAGATTCTTTAAAAAACTGAAAATAGAACTTCCATATGACCCAGCAATCTCAGTGCTGGGCATATACACCGAGGAAACCAGAACTGAAAGAGACATGTGTACCTCAAGGTTCATTACAACACTGTTTACAATAGCTAGGACACGGAAGCAACCTAGATGTCCATCAGCAGACAAATGGATAAGAAAATTGTGGTACATATACACAATGCATTAGCCATTAAAAAGAATGCATGAGGTGGATGAAACTGGAGCCTATTATACACAGTGAAGTAAGTCAGAAAGAAAACCACCAATACAGTATATTAACGCATATATATGGAATTTAGAAAGATGGTAACGATAACCCTATGTGCAAGAGAGCAAAAGAGACACAGATATAAGAACAGACTTTAGGACTCTGTGGGAGAAGACAAGGGTGGGATGATTTGAGAGAATGGCACTGAAATGAGTATATTGCCATATGTGAAACAGATGACCAGTCCAAGTTCAATGCATGAGACAGGGCACTCAAAACTGGTGCACTGGGATGACCCAGAGGGATGGGATGGGGAGGGAGGTGGGGGGGGGANAAAAAAAAAAATCATCTAATTCATCCCTCGACAGAAAATACATTCCATTTTTCAAATCCACATGCCAAGTCACTCAAACGAATTTGCACGCGTAGACTCAGCCCTAAATTTCCTAGGGCAGACCTGGATAATCTGAAACTCAATATGCAACAAAACGTGATTTATTAATAAAAAACTATCCTGCATAAAAGAGATACGGTAGGCCTACAAATCCGGAAGGACAAGTGAATGCTGGGGCCAGCTGGTGCACCACTCCTTCGCTGCGGCACCTGGTCTATACTTCGTGATTTCCCGCGCAATAAGTGGATGACAGTCCCGTCTGCCCAAACAAGGAGTACCTGAGCGCGACAGACTGGACAAGGGGAGCTCAGCTGCACACCTAAGCTATGCGGTAGCCGCCCCCAGCCCCGGGCGGACCGCGGGGAGGAAGTCCCTCGGCCAGCTCGTCTGTTCTAGGCCCTCACACCCCTCCCCGCTCCCTCCTAGCATTCCCGAGGGGATGGGCCGCACCTGCAGACTGGCCGGAGACACTCCCACCGCAAGGCGCCGCGCGGTCCAGCACAGCCACCTCCGTCTGCGGCCGCGGCGCACTTCCGCTTCCGGTGTCAGGGCCGTCAGCAGCGGAAGTGGCCGAGGCACTGGCTCTCAGGGCCACAGGAGCTTTGGAGTGTGGCGGAAAGCTTAACTCCTCTTTATATGACCTCGGAGAAGAAATTCTAGTTTCTTTCCCCCGGTTGGGGGTAAGGTTAAGCTCTGGGGTGGGGTCTGACCGGACCTAGAGGGTGGAGTTAGGGGCGGGGCGTATGCCACATGGTCCGGGCTAGTTGTTATTGTTTGTTGAGTTGCTAAGTTGTGTCCGACTCTGTGACCCCATGGACTGCAGCGCTCCAGGCTTCCCTGTCATTCACTGTCTTCCAGAGTTTGCACAAATCCATATCCATTGAATCAGTGATGCTGTCTAACCGTCTCATCCTCTGCCGGCCCTCCTCCTTTTGCCCTCAGTCTTTTCCAGCATCGGGGTCTTTTTCCAGTGAGTCGGCTCTTCGCATCCGGTGGCCAGAGTATTGAAGCTTCAGCAACAGCCCTTCCAGTGACTATTCAGGGATGAGTTTAAGCCGGTGGAGTGGGGATTGGGGTGGGATCTAGGCTTGGTGGGTGCGGCGGTGCTTCGCTGGCACTTTGGGATGCTCAATGTTTGACTTTCCTCTCCCCCTTCCTTCCGCCCCCCGCCTGCCCGCCCTGCCTTTCTCCTTTGTTTTTGGTTTTGTTTGGGAGTTTGGGGGCTTTTTGTTGTTTTATTTTTGGTTTTTTTAGAAGAGAATGGGTTTTTTTTAGAGCGGGAGAGGATGTAAGAAGGGAGAGCCGACCTTTTTCGCTGCTTTATACACAGGAATGATATATTTTACAAACTAGTCAGTTGCAATATTAGCCTGTAAAATCAAAAACATTTCTTAATATGTCTCAAAGGCAAAGTGAACTTTATAATGACACAATTTCACATTAACCAGTATGACAAATCGTAAGAAACTTAACACCATATTCAAAATAAGATATACAGAACAAGTATTTTGAAGTCATCTATTGTGTGTAACTCATAGTTAACGTTATGTGTATACGTCTCATTATTTCCTCCAAGGTTATCAATCAATGAAGCAAATGTTCCTTTGATGCAGAAGCACAGACACATATTTGTTTTTTAGTCAAGCAAGTTTTATTGAGTCTCGTCACTAAAACTTGCTGTCTAAATGAAACATATATTTTTTTTCTCCATATTACAAAAGAAAAACAGACTAACTGAAAAAACTTGTGAAGAAAAACCCAAACTATGCATTATAATCACTTAATACCTGTGTTGAATTGTATCATTTCTTCCAAAGCAATTTTGGCTTACTAGCAAAAATCATTTACTGTTTTTCTTCAATTCTTTTAGTTTTTTTTTTAGCCTTTTTATTGATCTGTAACATACATATAGAAAATTGCTTTGCAGTGTACATACAGAAACATATAGGAATATACAGAAATCGACATAGCTCAAAGAATTTTCACAAAGTGAACACACTCAGAAAGTTCCCTCATGTCTGTTTCATTTACTGTCTTCTCCCCCAAAGGAAAATCACTATCCTGATTTCTACTATCATAGGTTGGTTTTGTCTGTTTTAATATTTTATATAAATAAGCTCACACTGTATGAATTCTTTTTTCTTTGATTTCTTTGGCTCAACATCATGTTTGTAATCTTTGTTCAAGTTATTGCACGTCAAATAAATAATTCCATGCAGTGCAATGTGGTGAAGTCATTAAAGTTTAAGTGGTATATAGTTTACAATAGCTACTCAAAATATGTCAGTATTATGAGTTAACTACACAACAACATCTTTATTTTAATCCCCTGGCATTTATCTATTCCCAAATTTAATTTGCACCATCTGATTTTATTGCCTATTATTTGCATGAATAAAAATATTTTTTAACAAATAAAAGAAAATCAAATTTTGTTAGTGCCATAAATGTATTCTTTCCCCTAAAGAGTAAGTGATTTGACAAGATTAACCTCACTTCAAATGTGATAAAATTGAGAGTGAATGAAATCAATCACCTTGACATAAAATCACTGAGCACAGAGAAGGTATTTCTTAAACATTTGTTGGATGGATGAGAAGATGATGGGTAAATGGATGAGTGGATGGGTAAATAATGCATGGACAGATAGGTGAGTGGGTTATGGATGGGTGGATGATGCATGGATAAATGAATGGATGGATGGATGGATGGATGATGGGTGGATAGGTAGAGGGATAAATTAATGTGATGACCAAGTTTGTAAATCCCACTTTAATGCACTTGTTACAAAAATTAGCTTATTAATGAGTATCCTTACACCTGAATTTTCAAGGGCAATAAGAATGTATTAGCAGATTTTAAATGATGTGAAAGTTGCTCAGTCGTGTCTGACTCTACGACCCCAAGGACTGTAGCCCACCAAGCTCCTCTGTCCTTGGGATTCTCCAGACCAGAATACTGGAGTTGGCAGCCATTTCCTTCTCCAAGGTATCTTCCCAACCCAAGGATTGAACTCAGGTCTCCCGCATTGCAGAAGGATTCTTTACCATCTGAGCTACCAGGGAAACCCAAAGGAACTAGTTAATATATCTGTAGGATTTTCTTCAGTTCTCAGTGCAAGAGACGTGGGTTCAACCCCTGGGTTGGGAAGATCTCTTAGAGGAGGAAATGGCAACCCACTTCAGTATTCTTGCCTGGAAAATCCCATGGACAGAGGAGCCTGGCAGGCTGGAGTCCATGGTGGTGGCAAAGAGCCTGATATGACTTAGCGACTGAGTACATACGCAGATAACAAGGGATCTTATTTGTACCCTGCCGTAATCCAAGTACAGTATTTCTTTTTTCCAGGCATAAATGTATATTAAAATTTTTACAGTAAATAAACTGACTTCCTTTTTTGGAAGGCAGTTAAATTCTATTTTGGGGTTTCCCTGATAGCTCAGTTGGTAAAGAATCTGCCTGCAATTCGGGAGACCTGGGTTCAATCCCTGGGTTGGGAAGGTCCCCTGGAGAAGGGAAAGGCTTCCCGCTCCAGTATTCTGGCCTGGAGAATTCCATGGATTGTATAATCCATGGGGTCACAAAGAGTGGAACACAACTGAATGACTTTCACTCAATTCTCTTTTATTATATTTGATGTTTTTCTTCTTCTTTTTTTTTTGGCCATGCTACATGGCATGTGGGATCTCAGTTCCCCAACCAGGGCTCGAACTTGCACCCCCTGCATTGGAAGCATGGAGTCTCAACCACTGGTCCACCAGGGAAGTCCCCTAGTGGGACTTCTAAGTGAAGTCATATGTGACTTATAAGTGAAGTCACATACTTCTAAGTGAGTAAGTAAGGTTCCCCCATACTTCCAAAATGAGATAATGTTGAACATACCTTGTAATGAATTTCACATTTGACATTATTTTTTTGTAATGACAGTTGTGAAAATTGAGTTACAGTCTTTTCAAAAAAAAAAAAAATTCCTCCCTTAACATGCATCTTTTCTGAAACTTGTCAAGACAGTTAAGACACACTACGACAGCAATATTCAGAAAGATAACCTTTTTTTTTTCTTGAGTTTGAAATTTTAATGTCAAAATAAAGTCTTAAGATAACCCTTTCACATTCATTTGAATCAGTTCTAATGAGATGGATGAAACTGGAGCCCATTATACAGAGTGAAGTAAGCCACAAAGATAAAGACCANTATGACAAAACCCACTGAAATGTTGTGAAGTAATTAGCCTCCAACTAATAAAAATAAATGAAAAAAAAAGATAACCCTTTCACAAAAATAAGGCAGCTTTATGCTGTAAAAACATTAGTTCTTTGTCAAAGGTTATGTTCATCTGTTTTCATGTATGTTCTGCTGTCACCACCTGTCAGCATCATCTTTAATTTTTATGTATGTATTTATTTATTTATTTGACCACACTGGTCAAAAGTTGCAGCACATAGGGTTTGGGGGGTTTTTTGTTTTTTTATTTTTTTATTTTTCCCACATGTGAACTCTTAGTTGCAGCATGTGGGATCTAGTTCCCCCACCAGGGATCAAACCCAGGCCCCCAGCACTGGGAGTGAGGAGTCTTAGCCACTGAACCACCAGGAAAGTCCCCAGCATCTTCTTTAAAGATCTTTTTTTCTTTCGTATGGAGAGCTACATGGCAGCTCGTTGGCTATCCAAGTATGCTTTGCAGCCTAAATGTATAACACCGACAGTGAAGGGGTCAACTGTGGTTTCATGAACATGCTGAGTTGGTCCCAGTGGTGTCTGCATGTCTCAACAGATCTTAAAGGAACAATACTGGTACTCCTCATCACAGTCCTTTTTAATTTTGCCACAAATCCCATAGCACCTGCCACATTGGCTGCAGCACTTTGTCAGGGAAGGAAAGCTAATATTCAGATGGACACCAAACAGTGAAGAGCCACACCCATTTGGCAGGGAGGATTTACCATCATAACATGGGAAAGGCTTAGATCCATCCCCTCATTCATGCTTGCAAAGCTAGTCCTCACCTCCCAGGAAGTTCAAGATGGTGTTCAGGCATTTGTCTGTCTTGTGAATGCCCTTCTGGTTAGTCTGCATGGTAGCCCTCCAGTCCGTAGCCTCCTCCTGGCACCTGAAAGCTGTGGTCAGGAGAAGGAAGAGGAGGGTGGGAGCCAAAGGCCATCGGTGCAGCCCCGAACCCCACGGGTCCCCAGAGCCCGCGAGATGGGTGCCCCTCCTTGAAGCCCTCACGCCGCCCTCAGTAGCAGTAGCAGCCCCAAACCAGGTTCGATGACCTTGTGCATGCGTGCCAAGTCGCTTAAGTCATTTCTAACTCTTTGTGACCCTATGAATCATAGCCCACCAGTTTCCTTTGTCCATGAGATTCTCCAAGCATGAATGCTGGAGTGGGTTGCCATGCTCTTCTCCAGGAGATCTTCCTAACCAGGGATCGAACCCAGATCTCTTATGTCTCCTGCAGTGGCATGCGGGTTCTTTGATCCACATCCATGCGTCCTTCCTGGCTGGAGGCTGGTTCTCA